CAAAAGAAACACATTTTTAGTACTCCATTTTTTTTTTTTTTGAGAAGTTAGTAATTTATTGACGACTAAATGTATTAATTTCGAAAATTACTTAAGATGGCGAAATTTAGCGACATCAAATGATACTTGTATTGTCCTGGTTAAACATTTTTATATTTGTTGTTTTTGAGTATTCCTATTTCAACAGACTTTGTGCTTCAACCGTTAGGAATCGATTGTCGAGTCTCGACCGCATTCTTCAGTAAAATAAATTTCCAAGCGCTATTAATTGTGCGATGTACTGATGTAATGACATTTCTTTTTTGTATGAAAGTGAATTCTGATTTCTCGAGTCGACAAATGAAAAAGTAATAATGATAAATCTAAAATTTTTCCATAAGCGTTATTGCCTAAGATATCGAAGGAGAAGGCATGGAAATATGGTGTTAAGGTTGCCACTTTGGGGGAAGATGAAACAGTTAGGAGTAGGCAACTTAATGCTGTTTGGGAACGCACCGATCCACCGTCTACTTTTCACTCGCTAGCTTAGCCAAATAGATATGAAGAATCACTCAACAATTTAACATTCTAAACAGATGGAAACAACAAAATAATGTATGAACCAAATCCAGATTACGTCGAAAATCACGGATAATATCCAAAGCAATTTATTAGACAGTTAATACAGAATTACCCCCTCATGTAGGAGCTGGAAAACAGCAAAGCCAAGTGCCACTCTTCAGTGTCTTGTCGACGGTCTATTTAAATTCCTTGATGAGTGAAAACTTTCACTATTGTGACTTACCAGCTACCGAGGTCTTTCTATTAAAATCCTTGACAGGGAAGGAATTTCTCTACAAAGGCAAAAAGACCGACCTCTAGCAATTTATCAACTCCATATCTTCAGAATCTGCCTAAAATGATATGCACCGTATTGAACTGAAACTTTTTACTGAGGTACTCCGAACATAAAAAGCGGGTTTTTTACCATGAATACTCTACCGGAGTATAACACGTTTTGCTATTACATAGCCCCAGGATTTTTCAGTAGAACAAATTATAGCAGAGTAGTACAGAAAGTTTTTGACCTCCATTTTTTTTAACTTCATTTTTACTTTCTATGCTATTCTTCTCAGGAAGATAGCGGTAGTCTATGTTTCCTAAGACTTCACCCCTTTACCTTCTAAAATCTGAAAAGAAATATGGCAGAGAGTGACCAAGTGGCGTAATAAACTGGTACAAGGCAACGGTCATTTAAAGCGAGATGACTCTAGAAAACGGCCACTCTGAGCTTTAATCTTTCGGTAGGCTCTAAAACCAAATTGCAAAGAAAGAAAAAAAAAGACATTCAACTCCACTATCTATCCTCCGTAGCACTCAAAACTCGCTAAATTCATCCATAGGAATCCTTCACAAGTCGTTTCCGCATTTCAATATTCACTTTTTTCAACAGGAAGAAATATTTTGAATTTGATTTTTTGGCAAGATTCCACTGAAATTTACTGATTTCATGCTGTTGTATCAAAAAAGCAAGAACAATATAAGCACCCCTCATAGCGGTATTTGGTGGTTAATGTTTTAGAGAAATAGTTACGGGGTTAGCAGAGTTGTTGGAGGGTTTCCGGGGGACGGGAAGGTGGAGGGAGGAAGGGGGAGGGGGGAGATGGGAGGGTGTAGCGGAAAAGCAAAAATTAGACGCAGCGGCGAGTACGGACGGATGGAACGAATGAACATTGCGTGTTAGTCGAGTCGTCGCCACAAATCACAGACGAAATACTTTACCGCTATTAAAATACAAGAAAATAGCAAGAGTGAAAAAGATTGCCGAAATATGGAAAAGTAGTAAAGATAAATAAAATTGACCAAATACAGCAAAACAATAGGGACGATTTACATGTAAAAAGGCTTCAAAGATCGTCCAAACGAAAGGATTGAATCCAATATTGAACTTATTGGAATACTATAAACAACTATACTAATTGGAAGCAATTCTGCCAATCAAACTCTATACGGAAAAAACTGGTAATTCCAATGCCCAATGCGTTGAAATTATAACTAGAAAATTCAAGCTTCAACGAATCCCAAAAAGAACGAAGATTTATCGACGATCAAAGTCAATTACAGAAAAGAATATCCGAAAAATAGAAGAGGCCGATTGATAATAGATAACAAAAGACAATGTCGGGCTTCTAAACTGCCCTTCCGGAACGATACCAAACTATAGAAGGTTGACGACACACTTACTAATACTCAAAAAATATATACGTACTGACCAACCTCTTCAATAGCCAACTATTTATACGACCACATAGATTACCAATCCGCCTTTGGATTTTTTCTCTCCCTCACGGAACTTATCTCGCCTTCCGACAGAGGGGAAGGAAGGGGTAATTGGAGACAAGCAAAACCCGAACGTGAATCCGACGCGATTTATCCTTATAGAATACTGTTCTTTGACTACTTGTTTCAAGCTAGATATTCTTTTGCTTCCGACATTGCTTGTCGTTTTCAGAGACTTCAAAAAATATGCTAGAAGATTCAATAGCCAATAAAGTTGTAGGATTTTATAACTTCCGGACATGGTTGAGCATAATCGTTATTGGACAAAAAGTTACCCATACTTCTGCTAATGTTATTGGTGCAAAAAACTTTCGTACCTCTCAGTTTTAGCGTACTGCCGTCTTTTAGCACATAGTACTTATCTACAGATACAAGAAGACTTTATTTCGTTCTTGTGATGAAGTAGTCAGTGATTTTCAGGGCAAGTGATACTACGTCGTGACACTTAAGCGGGCCCATTCCCAAACATGGTTTTTTGATCAACAGCTTAACTTCATTCTTTGC